GTCCCAGCACCATACTGCATCCTTCTTATGGAGGTTGGTCAATGGCCGTGCCATATCAGCGTAGTTTGCACTGCACTTGCGCAATTATTGGATTAATTGAGCCATTTAAGCAAGTCCTTTTGGTTCGACGGCACCGGCCACTAAACAACAGAATTTATTAGCGGCATCCGCTCGAATGCCCCCTTCCCAATGAAGAACTCAAGATAGGTAATTACTCCGCACCAAATAAGCATTTAGATGCATTTGCATACAGCTTATTTGTACGCATGCACATAAGCACTGCTCGTTAAAGGTCAATGTGATTGTCCACATCTGACCTACCCTATCCTGCACGGCTATGGAAAAAGAAGTCATCGAAATAGCTTTGTGCATATTCTCGATGAGGTTGGAACATTTGCTTCACAAGCTGTTTAAACATAGCCGAGGCATTAGACAGCCCTTGAGGCATGAAAAGCCACTCTCAAAGCATGACCGCTTAAAGTGCTTACCGCTGTGAGCGAAAAATTACTCACTTGCATGAGCAATTTATATTGCTTATCGACCAATTCGAGTGCACTGAACATGTAACATCCTTCCATAGCATCCTGAAGACCATCCTTTTTAGGAATAAGCGTCGGTGCCGGTGTATTGGCCGCGATAAGATCTATTGGAAGCATGTGAAAGGCGCCATTTTCCTTCTGGATTTCTGGAACATAATGCCGGTGTCCATTGCGGAGAATTGCTTTCTCGCACCATACCATTCACGTGCTTGCACGAAAGAACTCGTCAATGACGTCACACTGCTCCTTTGATAGAAGGCATTGGTGCGTCACACAGTATTTGTTCCAAAAACCGAGTCATTATTATGGCGTACGCTTCGATCAGGAGGCAGAGTGGAAGATGGATCGTGACACACCATATCCTAAAACGCCTTAACCAAGGATAAAACGGGTCCCCAGGACCTTTCAAGATCGATGACCCATTCGAGCACTCTGTACCGCCTATTTGTCTTCCAAATAAATTCAATCCAGGCAGGACAACGAGTTCAAATTAGTGTTGGATCTAATGACCAACACTTCAGATAAGTCACTTTTTACTTTACAGGCCAGACCAAACTCATCGATAGACATTTCGTCCAGCTCTTACAGAGTATTCAGTGAAGGTAGGGTCTCAAGACTCACTGAACCATCTACGTCGCCAGTCACTCCAGTAACGAAAGTATGTAGCTGCTAGCTAGTATCGCTCAGTGACGTAACATACGCATTGGGTTGCATAGCAGCATTATGGTGTATCTGTCGTTTCTGTGAAGAGACTAAAAGTTACTTTCTCAAAGTTGATATAATCATCATCTTTAATTGCTCTATGAAGAGTTGAAGTCATCACCGAACCCCGGGGCATCAATTATTCCAAATCTTACATAATTATCGATATTAAGCTGCTCTTTACCAGAGCCGATGTCATTACCGACATCCGGACCTATACCGCCCCCAAGGTGGTGAACCGCGTCAAACTTAATTTGCGTAATACCAGGGCCGATGTCATTACCGACGTCTGGGACTACATTTTCTCAAGGTGACGAATACGTCAACCTTAACTTCGATCGATGTTAGTTACAATGTCATTACCGACATCTGGTGGTGAGTCACTTCCAGTGATGTCACCACCCATTGGGCCCTTACGTGCCACTACACGCTTATCAAATGGGTTTAGCCATTATAGACTTAATGTTTCACCAAAAAGTTCTTGACTGACATTTTGGATGTCGCTATCACGGCCAACATTACTCTGTGGCACGTACGTGTCACTCCATACTCATCAGATGGGTTCAACTCATGATGACTTGGCTCTAGGCCAACAATGCGAGCAGTATTCAGTGATCCAATATTACAACGATTTTAACTCGACGAAGTATGTAACTTTCACTAACGTTCATCGAGATTGGCTCGCAACGAACTTTTTGACATCGTCCAACTAAATGAGTTCAGACAAACTGATGTACAGCACACTGACTGTCTCAGTCCGCGGCTTGCGCCAGTAGTGCTTCTGGTTTCTAGCAGATGTGATTTTACGGCCCTTTAAAGCTCCTAAAGGAATAGTGCGCGTTGCGATTGAGGTCTTGGACCTTCAATCAATCCATGGCTCATGGCGTTCTAGCCAAGCCATACCAAGGATGAGATAATACCTCTCACTTAAGTCAAGGACTAAACAGCGTTCGATACTATCAAAGTCGGAAAACTTAACGCCGAAGCTCACAGGAACTTTGGGCATAGTGACTAATGCCCCTTTTGTCAAGCAAAAGTGATTGTCTCACTCTTTTGCGCTTTCAGCGCCTCACCTTACCGCTGACCCCCTTCTAAGGAAAAACGTCGGACTAATTTCCAGACGCCCCGGAGTCGATCGACCGTGTCCTATCAAAGCACATCACTGTTTCTTTTGCAACATACAAACATGGTTCGTACTCACGCGTTGTGACGTTGCTCGCGACGCCACCTAGGACTAGCCCTGTTCTCCATAACTACAACAGAGCCTAGGTTTCCTAAGATGGGCGCCCCGCGCCTACTGTGACTCGACGTTTTTCTGCGCCTTAACAACTCATTGTTTAGCAACGGGAGGCCAACTCGAACGGTTTTTCTGGTCTTTTTAAGGACAATTGAGGTGAAGGTGGTTGGTGCTCCCGCACTTACTACATCTACAGATGTTCGAACGCTGTTCGGCAGCGAAAAGCTTAGCTTCTTCGGCTCTCTCAGCGATACCTAGGCCCACGAGTTCTGCTTGATCCACAAGTAAATCAGTGCTCGACAATTTTGTTTGGAACCGATGAGTCCTATAACGGGCAGCTTCAAAGGTGAAATCTGCGTTTATCGCTATGTCTACTGCATCATTTAATGTCGAGGGTTGGGCACACAAGACTTCTGTTCTGGAAACTCCAGTGCGAAGACCCTTCGCAAAACTGGTCACCAGGACCGTCTCAGGTAAAGGGTCAAGATGCATCGAAGCAATACGAGTTTGCGACTCCTAAAAACAATCGACTAAGTCCCATTTTCCTGGCGGGTCGAAGGAAGCGTGATCGCATGCGATATGGCTGATCAAACGGTGCAATAACCCGAGATAGTTGCTGTTTTAGCGTGTCCCAGGTGGAGAAGCCTCGTCTATCGAGGTGCCAGAAGATAAGGCCCACTCTTTGGCTCGCCCACCTAACTTTGATAGGGCCAGGCCTACTTTCTGCTGCTTTGACCACAGCAGGACCGGGCTGATGGCAATCTCTATCTCTCAGACCCACAAAAGGATATTTTCTCCTGATATCCCCTCAAACTTCGTAACGCTTAAGACTAGAGGGCGATTCCTTGACCCGGTGTCCGGTATTGGAGCATACTGAGTGGGCAGGGCGGATGCATAATGGTCATGAACCTGTTCGATCAACGTGGACTCAAAAAATATCAAAGGTTTCGAGACGTGCACGAAGTGCGTCCGGACCTTGATCCATTGTAAGAGCCACTTGCTCATGCTCAATCAACGCCCTAAGCTTCTCAAGCGTGAGCTGCTCGGTCTCAGAAAGGTTTATGGACGTTTTCATCCTCGCAGATGATTCAGTTCGTGAAGATACACGTGTAGACCACAAGTGCTATCAAGTGTAGCGGGGCTACTTAGCACTCCTTAGCAGAGCAAGTCTTGGACTCAAAGAGTCTCTTAGTTAAAACAAACTAACAACGACGTACAGTTGTTTGAGCGTACAAGCTTAACAACCCCGGTTCTAAAAGGACTGCGGTACACAGAATTACACACTAAGTAGTCACTACTAATTAAAGAAGAGTAAGCGCCTTTACAAGGCTAACACTCTTATAATACGCTATGCCTTGACCAGGCACTAGCGTCCGACGTTTCAAAATAGAAACAGGCATTCTTTTTTTTAGCTACGTCATAAAAGTATATAACTCAGGCGAACTGGCCCTTATTACGATCCTATGACAGAAGTCAGATCCCTTATCCTTACCCGAAAATGTGCGGTATTACAGTAAGTACGTTGCAATAAGACTGTACTATTCACATCCTCCGATCTTTCTTGGTGTGGACACACAACATGACCGGTTATTTACCGCCGTGTATTTCTGTTACACTTATCAAGAGCAATAAAGCATGTCCCTATCTCATAGCAATATAGGCTTGTTATAGTCACTCTTTGTCTCGGTCGCATGGTGAAGCACGGACGTGATTGGCAAAATATCGATTACTAGTAAATGTGATCACACAACTAAATACTTGACGCTCATAACAAATGACTGTCTCGTTGCATGAGTATATTCTTAGTTAAATTAGACATTAATAGCATCATTCTTCTTCAAGGACTGCTGCTTTTGGATAGTGTTTTAAACTTGGTCCAGTCCTCCAAAATTACTTACTAATTTCAACGGGCGAGCTCCTGAGCTCGCGTCTATATCTTATTTTGATAAGCCGTTTAGACTGTGTAGGCTAGAAATTTATTTACTGGCTATCAACTTATTTTAAGGCTATCCCTGATGTGCGGCTATTCACTTGTTTTTGGGCGAGTTGCTTGTTTTTATAGGTTCTCCTTTATATATTTCTCAAGGCTCAGATCAGCCATTCTTTCCAAGCAATAGAACCCTTCACAAACATGCTCAGAAGCGATGGGCAGCGACGAGGGAGGCGGTCCATGTCTAAATGATTTTTTTAACATGCGGCAGTTGTGAAATGTTATCTCTTAAGTACAGGCGACGAGCGTTTCCAATTAATGCGCAAAAATGGGTGTCGGTGAGGACATACATCGTACTGACCAAGACTAATGTGAATCTTAGCCAATCGAAATAGAACATGCTAATTTAAATAAAGTTCAAGTCTGGAACAAGAGAGACAACGTATTACAAAATTAAAACTGACCCTCTTACGGAGAAAAGAACCGTTGGTTTAAAAAAAATTAACAGGCAATTATACAATTTTGACACAGATCTTTAAACAACAAGCAGAGCAAAAACAGCCATAATGATGACCCTTCGAGGCATTTAAGCTCAGGCCTGAGCACAAGCGAGCTCCTCCTTGTACTGTGGAAGGGTGCATCGATCGTCAAGAAGTCCGAGGTAGGCGTCTTCTTCTTCAAGGCTGTCGTCATCACCTCCTTCGTTCTTGATCTTGTCTATCTTGGCAAGCGTTTGACTTCGAGTCTGATGCTTGAATTTGAAACGGGCTTTTAGCTTTGCACCTTTAAAACCTTTGTAGTGATGGTGAGGAGCACGTATCAAGTTGGCCTTGCCGTACTCGTCGGAGCTCTCGATACTGTCATGGCTGGGGATGCCGTTGGCGCTGTCCGAGCTTTCGGAACTAATCGAGTCATCCGATCCTTCATCATAATCGAAGCCATAAGCACCACGTGTATGGGGTCGGGGGTCGTTGACCGTAACCGTGGTATCGGTGTTGCCGTCAAGCGAACCGCGCTCAAGTTTTGAGCCCTCATCACGCGCCAGAAGGTGGCGCCTCCCGGTGTTTTCATCGGCATCAATGATAGCGTCGTGGTGCAGCATCAGCGGAGCCCCCTCAAATGCGACAAGGTTCTCAGAGGCTAAAGCTGTTACAGCTTCGCCACAAGATGACAGGCACACCAATGCTGCGGACAAGAAGATACTAGTGCGCATCGGGAACAGCTGAACGGAAGGAGTGGAGGAGTACAGAGGGATCACGTTGCTTCGAGGCGTCAAGTTGACGAATGACTTGATGGGTCGAAGGAGTTGATTGAGGGAAGAAGTTGGTGGCCGGGAGACAAGCACTCCGGCAGAAAATCAGTCAGACACTGCTTCGAGCTTGTCATCGCTTTAATTTTTTTCCTTCTTGACAAATCCTGACGGCAGCTCATTCGAGAAAACTTTGTTATACAGCCACCTATCATGATTGTCCACGGGTCAGGCCCTCGTAAGATACCACACCACGGCTGAATTTAACGAGCACGACATGGATTTTTAGCTCGTAATTTAGAGAAAAAGCAATTAATGTACATCCTCCTTTAGAGCTATTTTACAACAAGTTGTAACAGCGATAAAGTGTGTTTGTGGCTCGAATGTTGCAGCAAGGGGACAGCTCTTTATTTGAAAAGACCTATTTCCATGCGTCTGAGCGAAACCTGACGAGCTTGTAAGGACGCAGCACACAGTAGCGACAGACAGTTCCACTGAGACCCGTAGCAGCCACAAAATCGACGGCTGATCCCCCATCTGCTACATCGGCCCGGACAGATCAGTTTTGACGAGCTTCTTGGGACTTCCCACTGTGGCATCTGTAGCCGGACACGTCTACGTCCAGTGCACTGATCATCATTTCGACCCCTTCCTACGCCGCGCTGTAGTCATGCCTTAAAAATGAAACGTGGAATGGGATTGAACACAGCTCATTGCGATCGAAATGAGGTTGGCTGTCTTGGTGCTTGTGGAGCCACCTACCTGCCTGCGGCTCCTGGACGATCTTTCGGTAATATTTGGCTCGTAAGTACTCAGAGCAGGACATGCCTCCCGCGTGACTGCTCTGACTTGCTGTTCTACGTTACGCTTTCGCATACTTGCCTCGCAACAAACTACACCAGCACGAACGACACGTGTGATGCACCTGCGTTGTCCTCTGTCTTACCCTACGTGAAGGCGTCACTTAGTTCACACGTCGCATACGCTGATGATCGATGTCTGGACCGACAGCGTTTCTGAATCGGCGAGCATTTAATTGGCGTAACATCCAGCGCCACTTCTCCTGCCTGTCCATGCTTTAACCAAGCAACTGACGGGATCGTGCCACCCATTGCAACCTTTTTCACCGGAAGTCGACACCGGCTCTCCGAGGTTCCTTGGACGCTCAGTTGGACTGCGTGCCAACATCAAGTCAGTGTTGCTCTGTGTCGTGCACATAGCAGCGATGCTCGTCGGGCGTACCGGCAGTTTCTACGTTGGTAACATCTTAAATATTCGTGTTGGTTCGTCTAATCTCGATATTGTATGTTTTGTTCAACCCGTTGATGGACTCGGTAAGCCCAACGTAGGCTTTTACGTCTTTGGGTTACTACCGTTTACAACATGTATAACGCTGTCGTATCGAACCTCACGAATTGCAGCAACTAATGCCTTCACGTCCCTGGAGGGTGCTCTGACGAGCCCAGATAAATCATAGAGCCGCTTCTAGAAGCGAAGTATTCCATAAATTTCTATCCTGTCGATCTTGAAATGGCAGGAAGTCGCTGAAAAAAATATGCTACGTACGGAAGTGATGGATACGAGTTGCTGTCGATTGCATTTAGCGAGATGGCAAAACGTCGTATTCTGCAAGCTAATGCACCACTAACTCTCGTAATCCAGTGATGTAACGGGGTAGGCTGTTACATCCTATTGGCACCAAACGGTGTTAATAGGAATATTGTCTAGCATGACAATATCCTACCAATATTATCCGATATGAATAATATTGTAGGAATGTTATCCCCTTTTGGATAATATTCATGTGCTGCTCCTAGATTGGTTGATGTAAAACATATCAACATAGATTACCACCAATCGCTGCTAGACGCGCGCAATGAGTAGTGAGCAGGTTGCCGTCGTACGACGACGTAGTTTAATACAGATATTTAAAGATTAAAGTTATATTGACAGCTTAACTATATTCAATGAAGTCTCTTTTTACCTATACTCAGCTTAGTCGTTGAGGAGACTAGCTTCCTCTGCACGTACTAGTGTACGTGGCACCCAGACAAAGGGTGCCCTCTTACGTAAAGACTGATGTTATAGTGAAAGCTTAACTATATTATATACAGTTCTCTTTTATACTTTACTTAAACGAGTCGTTTAAGTAGAATAGCTTCCTCTGCACGTACTAGTGTACGTGAAGTTTCGTGGCATCAAACAAAGGGTGTTCCGTTACACCTGGTAGCACTTTGTAGTCCGTTCAACGACTGCTTAGTGTCCGTCCAACATGAACATGTTGGACGTAGAAGACGATAGCTTTCACGTCACACGTATAGGCTGCTCCCATCTGAGTGACTCAGAATGGGAGGTAGTCGGCTGCATGAGTGTGATCATGGGCGAACCCGCCATCAGTGGTATATTGGAGTCTCTAAGCAGAGACCAGCAACATGCTGCTATCAACAATGTCCTACAAGAGAAGCTTGCTATCGAAAGACAGAAGATAGCCTTGCTACAACAGCGAGGCTCTCATCAGTCGATTGGCAGGCCGACGCACATGCGTCGACCCTAAACCTTGAAGATAGATATCTCAAGGTACAAGGAAACCGATGAAGATTTCCTTTTGGAAGGTTCGTCGAGTTAGACGACGCCATCAGGGCCCGTCACATCGAGGGTGACGAGACGCAAGTCACCTTTTTTCTGTCAAATTTGACAGGGCGAGAAAAGACTTGGGCCTTAGGGCTCAAGCTTCACGATCCGAACCTGTTTGAGTCGTTGAAGATCTTGAAGTCTCGGCTTAAAGAGACGTTTGAGCCGCCACGAGCCGAGTTCAGAGCACGCTCTGCACTCTTGAGGCTCAAGCAAGTTAAGCGCGATGTGCATGTTTATGCACAACATCTACGCTAACTTGCGAGTAGCGTCACGGAAAACACTGTTAATGAGCACACGCTCATCAACGTGTTCATCTACGGCCTTTTGGATGGGCCGGTGAAGATCTGCATATTCCGAGAGGACTTCCATACGCAGAAAAAGGCGATAGCGTTTGCGGAACAAGAATACTTCAGTCCTTGACAGTCTCAGGCCAACTCGTCAAACTATTGCCCGACGATACTACAGAAAACAGGAGGTCCCAAACCAATGGACCTCTGTTACATCGAGAGCGAGAACTCTCGCTCTCTGAGTCACAAGCGAACGGCAAGATGTCATTGCTGCTAGATGATTGGACACTACGCTCATGAGTGTAGTGTACCGAGCACCGCAACACGTCCAAAGACAGGACGTGATGACCACCATTGGCCAAGGAAAGGTCCAAGACGTAGGTCCGACCATGTCGCTAAGCCGCGACAGCAAGTCGGACCGTAAAAAAATGGTCAGTGTCAGTAGGGGCGGAGCACCCTGCTGATCCAGCAACGTCAAGAGAATTTGCAGGACTCTTGACGAAGATTGCTACCAACACGAAGTCTCTGTGTGTTACTGCCCTTAGTGATGAGGAGTCTCTCATCACTTTTAAGATCGAATTGACAAGTGGAATGTCACTTCGCGCCCTAGTTGACTGTAACGTCGAACAGTTTTATTCGACGCCAGTCGCTAGGGGATGGTAGTCTCAACTATGTTGAGTGAGAGTTCCCTCCAACATGGATGACGGTGTGCCTTGCTACAGGCGCATCCGCAACAGTGAACAAACGCGTAGTGGGAACACACTAAACGCTAGAAGGAAAGCAGTACGATGATGCTTTCATCGTACTAGATTTGGATGACAAATTTGATGTCATCCTCGGTCTGCCATGGCTCAGAATATACCAGCCATGGGTTAGCTGGCAGTATCGATCCGTGAAGATGCCTGCCGTTTGTTCATCGGACGGCCATCTGATGAATGTCTTGGAGCGTCCACAAGAGTGTGAATGTACTACGAGTGAGTGCGATGGCCTCACTTGTGGTACAGTCGTTAGTACGACTGCACAAGATCAAAGTGTAGAAGGCCAATACACTGTGGAACCAGCTTCCGGCACATGTGTAGAGACACAGGCGGCGCCGAAGGTTCGCCACTCGAAGAGATCGAGTGGACTGGGGCACGGATGCACACCAAGAAGGATGCATCCAAGAAGAGGGATTAGTGTTTTTCAAGACGAACAACACGCTAAAGCGAGATCGACTATAAAAGAGTCGATCGTAGAGCAAGCCCGATTGACTGAAAGAGAGTCTATCGAAGAGGGCGTGACTGTGGTAGTACACCCACAGTAAGTACACGCAATGGAAGAAACTTCGTTCCTGAGAGTGGTAACTCTCATAGTAGTTATGCTGAAGGTGTGGATCCCCAACCACCTGCAGATGTGTTTTCCCAAGAAATCACCAAGACATTGAATGTCTTAGTGAAGAACAGATCAAGTGTACGCTCTCATGCACTTGATCTGGTTACCCCTCGAAGTCGGATTCGGAGGTAATCAAGTTGCCAACGCTAAAATCTAAACGATTCTTGCGAGATCGGCGTAGTGAAAAGATCCAGCAGATCTGCGTACTCGTCACAGAGGACAAGTACGTCGCCGATATTCGGTCGGCACAAGTGTTTGTTGAGAACGAACGGGTTCTTAGTAGCTTATCGATGGACTAGAGTGTCCTCGATAAAAAGACTCGGATCAAGCGATACGTGTCTCAATCTTTTGAGTCTTTGAAGACAAATCCTTTGTTTAAGAATTTGGTTGAATTCAGGGATGTTTTCCAGATATCCGTGCCATGCGAGCTGCCCAAGGACAAAGGCACTTGGCATGAGATCGAAAAGAAACCTGATTCAGAATACTGTGTCATAAAGCAGTGGCCAATGCCTCGCGAAAAAGTCACAGCGATCGACAAAAAGTTTCCGATAGTTTTGCGGCTGGTCATGTGAAGGTGTCAACATCCTCACACAGCTCTCCGACCTTCTGTGAGAAGAACGCCACAGGAGGGTCGCGGATAGTGCACGAGTTCAACAAATTAAATGCTGCAAGGGTGCCGGCTCAAACGCCGATACCGAGGGAGAAGGTCATCATGTATGGTATGGCAAAATATACCATCTTTTCGTCCATGGATTTGATGGATGAATTCTATCAGATCCTCATGCGTGAACGGAATATCCCTTACACAGCAGTGAGCACCCCCAGTGGTATCCTCTGGGAGTGGATAGTGATGCCACAGGGGCTAAGTAACGCCCCTGCAACGTTCAACAGATGTGTCACAAATCTATTGCGATCGGTGCGAGACTTCGCACCGAGTTACTTCGACGATTTCTTTCTTCCACAGCCGGGCCATGGATGGAAAGACGGACGTGGAGATTCATAGAAATCGAATCCTTAAGGTACTCACACTTATGAGAGAGCATAAGTTGTTCGCGAACCTCTAGAAGTGGTTATTCGCAGCAAACGAAATTACACTTCTTGGCTGCATCGTAGGTTGAAACGGTGTACGCCCTCATCCGGTAAAGATCAAGGCGATTAGCGACTGGCCTGTGCCAGTCGACGTCAAGAAACTTCGAAAGTTTCTTGGCTTAGCGGCGTACTTGCACGAGCACTCGCGCAACTATGCCGATATGACCGTAAATCTCTCTCGTCTACTAAAGAAAAACGAGAGATGATCATGGAGCGCTGAGTGTCAGTACTCCTTCAAAAGTGTCAGGAAAAGCTTAATACAATCTTCTGTGTCGGCTACTGCAGACCAGGACAGACCATTTCATGTGGTTTGTGACGCCAGCGATTCTGCAATCGGCTGCGCGTTAGTGTAGTACGACTCAGACGGCGTTGAGCGCGTCGTCTGTTATCAATCGCGTCAGATGCAAGAAGCTGAGCATAATCACCCGGTGCATGACAAGGAACTCCTTGCCATGAAATATGCACTGGCCAAGTTTCGGGTATATCTCTTAGAAGATAGGCCCTTCATCGTTTATAACGACAATGCGTCATTACGCACGGCCGTAAACAGTCCAAAACTCTCACAACGAATGGAAAGGTGGCTGTCTTTCTTCGCGGAGTATAACTTCTCCGTCGAGTGTAAACCAGGACGGCTTAATTTCGTCGCTGATGCTCTTTCGCGTTGGCCCGATTTCGAGCCGATTGCTCAACCTAACAGTATGGTTGATCCCACTGTACCAACACTAACAGTGAGTGCTCCGTTGTTGAATCTGCTCGACGACGTGCGAAAAGCATACGCAGAAGATGAGTCTCTTCTGCGATTGATGGATTACGTATCCAATCCGTGTAATCAAGCTTTGAAAAGCTTGTCGTCTCAATACCGCTCTTCAACCGAACGGTATTCTGTTCGATATGGACTGCTGTACTATACAGCAGTCAACGGCGACACACGTCGTGTCGTCGTTCCGGCTCACAATGATTTGCGATTGCGCATCATGCATGAGTGTCACGATGCCCCAACAAGTGGGCATCGCGGTAGAGAAAAGACTTACCTCGCGGTAAGTCGTGACTTCTACTGGACCCGGCAGAAATACATGCGCGCTTACGAAGTTTGGCAACGGGTAAAGCCTAGTCCTTCATCCCACGCACCCTTGTAGCCTCTTTCGATTCCGGCAGAGTTTTGGCAGTCCGTATCGTTGGACTTAGTCTCCGGGTTTCCCAACGACGTTCATTAGAATACGGGTATTCTTGTGTTTGTTGATCGGTTCAGCAAGATGGTACATCTTGTTGCTGTACCGGAGTCAATCAGAGCACAGGGTTGTGCTCGTGTCTTCATCGATACTATCTTCCAACTTCACAGGTTACCCCGTGAACTTGTGTCCGATAGGTTCCCCCACTTTACGGAGTTCTGGCAAACTGTGTTCCGTTCACTTAAAACACGTTTGAATATGTCAACTTCTGACTATCCAGAAACAGATGGTCAAACGGAACGCGTCAACCGCGTTCTCGAAGAGATATTTCGAGGGTATGTCCACTCGTTTACAAGCTGGAGTGATTTCTTTTCGATGGCGGAATTTGCCATCAACAACTCGGTGCATGCGTTGACAACGCAAACACCGTTCTATGTGAATGGCCTACGCCATCCATGTTTACCCGCCTTCTTAGAGCGTGACTCTAGTTTAAGGGAGAGGTGGAATCGCTCGAACAAAAACCGATCTGGTTCTTACTTATCACCCGTCGACAATGGTGTCGACGTGATGGATGTCGATGTCGATGCGATCGATATCGATGATGATGATGACGACGAGGCTGGTATATTAAGCATCTCCAACGACTGCCAAAGTAAGGACTATGATACCCTCACTGGAGAAGACAACTTTCTTACAGTGGTGCACACGAAGCGCACTGTTGTTGAAAAGGATAAATCAGCAGAGTGCTGACTCGCAAAGCGGTTGTCCGCTTCGTTTAAGACTCTTTTGCAGATGCACTGAACAGACGGAAAATAACGCAGACAAAAATGGAAGAGCAAACGTTCTTTCATTTGATAAAAAGGTATTTAGTTTTGCTGTTTACAGCAAATCTACCGAAACACGCAGTGACAAACGTGGGCAGCAGTAAATTACTGCCCAAGTGCATCGGTCCATTTCGTGTGTTGCGCCGAATGGGCAACGTATACACGGTTAAAACTGCCCCGCAAGATGCATACGCATCCTACGTTTTACGTTGGTCGTCTCCGCCCGTACTATCAGTACGAGCCCGTTTCGAGATGCAAAGAACATCTCCGCGGTCGAGAGCCGAGACCACCTTCGAGTGGTCCCGTTTCAACGAGCCAGTCTGGTCGACTTTTGAAGTGACCTGTTCACGCAGTTGAGCGATGTCTCGACGAGCCGCTGCTAGCTCGTCACGAAGAGAACGAGTCGAACTTTTGATCTCAAGTTGCGTGAACGCAAACGCGGCACGATCTTCCGAACGATCGTGCACTAAGGAGTTGTAATTATCCTTTACAAGATCATTGAGCTCATAACGCCGAGTCCGTTCATGAGCCAGGTCATATTGCGACTGTTCCGTTACACGGTTCAGCTCCTGAACATCAAGCTGATCCGACCCTCGAGCCGGATCAGGTGTTCCCGCCGCCACCACATCCCTTAATGGACTCAGGCGGTGGTCAACGCTTTCTGGTGGAGCGCATTTTAAACCACCGCGATGTGAATGGCGTCCGTACGAGTTGCCTCGTCCGCTGGCGTGTCTATTCATCGGTGTGGGACAGCTGGGAGCCTCGTGCACAGCTGATTGTTGATGTCCTTGGTCTCTTCGAGCAGTGTGACGAGATCCACCCTCTGCGTTTAAAGAAGGGCCGTCGGAAAACGACCACCCCGAACGCGAGTACAGGGATTACAAAGTGTCAATACCTTCGGCCATTTCGGAAGAGATGCGCGCCCTTCAGTTGGGATCATTAGGTAGGAAGGCATCCCTAGGGGCACGTTTTGAGTTGTCAATGCAACCTGGAGACGGATCACCCCACGAGAGACAGGGTAATCCTGCCTCTCTTGACAGTCGGTGCAACTTGTATCGCACCCCGACTGGGTTGCGCTTCTCATAGCTTATGCGAGCTGCATCATTTTTACCGAGCCAGGCCTCACGGCCAATGCACTCGATGTTATGGATGAGTGCATTCTATCCTTGCATTCAGGCCTTTCCGTTTCGAACACGGCTGCCATTGTACCATTGGTGTTTGAAGTATGCATCGGTGAAGAATTCTTCCTCAGCACGGATAGTTTCCGTGCTGGAACCAGGTGGGCAAATCTTCCTACAATCGAACAACGGGTTTCGATCCCGTTCGGTAGTCATGCCGGCCAACCGGTCCACCTAATTGGATGACGGCATCCAAGGAGACTTCACTTGAGGAGCGTGGTGCAGGACATTTCGGTCTCTGGCCTCTTGATTGGTGTCAGCATGAGCACTGACACCAGTGACACCTCGATACATCGAGTTACTTCGCTCGTGGTGATGTATAGGTGCATCAACACCATCCCCACGCTTTCTACCATCGGATGGACTTGCGTGAGGCGAGGATTCGCCGGAACAATCGCTCGATTCAACGATTTTTCGCATGATACCCTCATGTTGACTAGATCCAGTCAACCTGGCTCTTGCAGTGTCCGTCCCAGATGATCCGGAGGCGTGAGGTGTCGCCTTCGAGTCGGATACATCATCCGACCCGCCGGAATAGATGAGCTCTATTTTAGACTCATCTAAATTACGATTTGCATTACCCGCGGCAGATGCAGCGGATGTTTCCGTCGCAAGTGGTGACTCACCACGTGGACTGTTCACAACAACAGGTGACGAATCACCAGCTGCTGAGGCGTGCGAAGTGCTCTCTTTGGATGCACGCATGCGTGCAGCCGCCTTTCTTGCTACTGCTGTAGCAAATTGCTTAGATTTTAAAACAATGCGTTGGATTGGCAAATGAATGGAATTTGACCAACAAGTGCTCCAATTCCCAGAGTGTCCCACGGTTGTCACCCTTTCCCTATCAATTCTAAATCAAACAACAGGTAATTTATAATTAAGGGGGGGTGATGTAACGGGGTAGCCCGTTACATGATATTGACACCAAACGGTGTCAATAGGGATATTGTCTAGCATGACAATATCCTACCAATATCATCCGAGATGGATAATATTGACGGAATCTTATCCCCTTTTAGGATAATATTCATGCGCTGCTCAAAGATTGGTCGATGAAATACATATCAACCACTAATTACCACCAATTGATGCAAGGCACGCGCAATGAGTGGTGAGCAGGTTTTCGTCATACGACAATGTAGATTAATATACTCAGACAAAGTACTGGTAGCTTAACTTGTTATAAACAGTTCTCTTTTTTCCTTTACTAGAACGATTCTTTTTAGTAGATTAGCTTCCTCTGCACGTACTAGTGTACGCGAAGTTTCATGGCACCCGGAAAAAAGGTGCCCCGTTACAGCGACCACCGTGTCAGTTATTGTTCTCTCATTCATCCTTATTGTTGACGCTGTCGACCTCTTCATCATCTTCATCTCCGACTGTTCTAAGACCAGCTATTTCACGTCTTCGTAATGACATTCACATGGTAATGTGCAGGGTCATTTGCATATTCGAATTTGTCAATGCCCAGACACAAGAGAATGTCTGTATCATCCGCAACAATTTCGTATATATTGATGCTAAACGGAATGGCCTCGCGATGAGAATGTGGACTCTGTAATGATCTGCACGCACAGATCCCGGACTAGTCGTCACCATCAGTTGAGTCTGGTCCTGAAACGCATAAGTTAACGAATGTGCAAGCATTCACGCTAGCGAGCCTTAGCCACCCACTGTACATTTAAATCGCTCTCAGTTAGATCCCCCTATAGTGCTTTGAAACACGACAGCAAACAAATAGAACAAACAATCTTATTGCGTATTCAGCATAACCTAAGTCGTCTTGCAACAACCCTTATCTTGGTAGCACCTCCGTTTTGATGCTTCTCTTTCTTCACGCGTGCTCTCACGTCTGTCTTCTGCCTTTGTCCGACTCCGGTGTAGTCACGTCCGTCTTTGTCGCCGCTTTGTCCATCTATGTCTTCGCGTTTGTCGCCGCTTATTTTCCTCGTTTCTTAGTTCTCCGTTCCGCTTTCGCATTCGCGTTAGCTCTCTAGTCCACCTCTTTTTGCCGCCTATCCTCTTGTTGCGGAGGTAATTAAATGAACTAACGCATCAGAGATAAATAATGAGGACAACGCACAGTAGCTTATGGGATTTATTGTAGCATGTATGAGAGAAAAGCAATTGTTTATGGCGCAATATACGGAGTTACAACGGCAAGTGTTTATTGCTCTGCAACAACAACAACCACAAAATAAAATGTCTTTACAACAGCATAGTCGTGATTCCTTTCACAGCACGCACAAACATCGCGCAGAAGGCATCTCAATGCTATACTTTTATGGCACACAAGATGTTTATGTCGCCGACTACATAGTAGCACAGAATTACATTTCGAAGCCCCAGCATCATTTCCAAAGAGACGGACCCTCAAAAATAGTCTGTGAAGCTCTGGTTGCAAGCTTCAAATGACTGGAAGCTGCGTGGTACCGACTGTATGTTTCGAACAAAATAAATATATTGCCGTCCGTCAATCAATTTGAAGAGCAACTTGCGAAAAAAAATGAACTAGGCCGCCAAGAAATTGATTGCAACCAGCTCTTACGTCTCCGGCAAGAACTTTTTCCTGTTCGGAAGACTACCTTTTGGGGTTTAGCAATATTATTTACAAGATTAAAGACTTACAGGCATTGGCAAGGTAATGCATTAACAGAATGGCCTTGCTAATGAAATAAAGCAAGAGTGAAGTTGAGCAGAATCGAACGACAAACGGATGTTATTTTCTTCGCCTTGCAATACCATCGGAAGCACGCCACGCCATCTTTACAGCAAGTACACACAAGAAAAAGTCGTCGCAACGCCACTCTCATCCTAAACAGAGATCATAGCAAGCAGAGATTACTACTCTGATAGCGATTGGCATTGCAAAGTCTGTGTTACGAGCTAATTGCAAACGCCGTTATCTTTGACTCTACTGCAAGAAGCCGGGAAATTGCTAAAATGATTGTCACAAGCGTCAAATCACTAAAACAGGCAAAATCGGGCTCGTTATCCCCTCACTCGCAAATCGTTTTGAATGCATCAATGCTAAATTCGTTAAATCGTGGAACAAGAACATGGTTACGAGGACAAAGAAATGAGTGAAGACACTAGTTACGATCACGAGAAAGTTGAGGGTACTATGATACTTTACGAAAGCATGCAGCAGAACATGGAGTCCTTGAACACGATACACTGCGAGCGTTTACGCAAAAAAGATTTGACAAATGGACTAGACATTTATATATCTGTCGACAGTGGCGACGAGATAAATATCGTGAGGACAGTTCCGGCTTTGCATTTTGTCAAGTCGTTTAAGGATACCGCAGATTCTTATGACGGTACCAAGATTGCGGTATGCACAACACAACGTTGTGTGGAAACGCTTATATTTTTAGGGTGACCTTTCCTGACATCACCTTAATTAAGATTAAAGTGGCATTAGTTCAAGACTGGATTCTTGGTCAACTATAATTGGTTCTAATCTATCCCATTACTATCTAAACGACTGGAGCGATGGTGTGGTCCGACTGGCATCTCCACACCCTGCAACAAAATCGATACCGCCAATTGGGCCTTGCCAAATATTCAGAAGCCATCCATCGATTAATGCTCAACGAAAGAGTCATCTGATGTTGCCACTTTTCAAATATCTGCAGAAATGGACAAAATTGTCGAAGTCGATATCCGCACCGATGTCGAGGACGACGCGTAAATGGAAGTCTACAGCATTCGAGTTTAGACCTCACCCAACAAGAGGACGAGGCCGCATCAGCTCTAAAACGTTAGGGTCAATTTCGAACGATTCTCTACCGAAATAACCCCCTGGTCTTCCCCTGCACGTGAGATTGAGCATGAAGTCATCCTGACCCCGGATGCACCTTCGAGCGATCGATCGCCATTATGTCTCGATGAGATCGAAAAAGATGCCTTAAATAATTGGTTGCCGATCTACTCTAGAATAACTGGATTGAAGTGCCGGGTTCAACGTGGGTCTCCAACACTTTTGGAGTGCCAAAGTTCTCCCGGCACAGTACAAAATTCCATCGCATTTGGACTGGCTTTAATCGAACAATCCTGACATGGTAATCCATTAAATATCGACTTTTGACTATAAATTGCAGATATCGAAACTGCCAGAATTTTTTCTTCCACATATTAAGCAGCTCTTTGTTGCACGAAAGAAGCCGTGTTGTTAATTCCCCTCAATTTTGCCAGCAATTTTGTTCAGATGCGAATGGCATCTACTTCCAAAGTATTTACTGCATTCTGGACGAACCACGGAATTTATCATTGCAATGTTGATTCGGTGGGTATTGCGGGTATGCCAGGAAGATGGACGTGCTTTGTGCGCAATGTGATGAATTATATAGCGTTCATCGTCGTAAATCTAAATGAAATTTGTAACTTCTCAAGATTCATGTACAATTACGTCGACTACTTGCTGTAGGTCTGCAAAAATCTTCGCTCCAGTGAATCGTATGCTCGCCCGGACAAGTGCGACTTTAGTCAAAGATCTGTTAACTTTTTAGCCACATGATTTCACTGTCCGGCGTGCATGTTGAATCTTGCAAGACGCG